CCCCACACGCTCCACTGCTGCTGCTTACCTGTCGCTTTGGAGGCAGCAACAATAAGGATGCAATGTTTACGAGCAATAACGACGAGCTAAAGAATTACAACGGCACTGCCAGAGTGACATAAAAATTGGAGTCGGTCAACAATTAAGTTAAAAGGTAAATTTTTGTTGGCCTGCTGGGTAATGTTTCTATTAAATTTGGACACGCATGACTGATTTATAAGAAAAAGAAATAATATTTATTTTAAAAACATGATATTATAATGAATTAGTTTCATTTGAGTGTATTTGTTTTAAAAAAAAAGACTTATATGCTTGTAAACAAATAAATGTACTTCAGCTTCCGACTTAAGAACCCGCATATTGATAACAGCAAATTTGGATTCAGTTTCCCTGATCATTGAGCACAGTGCTAGGCCCGTTGTTTTGTTGCTGAACGGTAAATGTAGCTTGAACTATGCGCATGGGGTCGTATTTGTTGAATTCTCCTTTTGCGTGTAATGGGTAAGGGTGTGGTAAGGGGCAGTTGCTATTTGTTAGCATGCAGAAAAATCTACTTCTATACGTGTACCGAGCAATAATTTCTATACACTGCAGAAACGAAAATGCCTACTTTTAAATATTGCTATCTTTGCGATTTTTAAAATTTTATTTTATTTATGTTAAACTTTTACTCATCTTTTCAGCTATGTAATAAGTTATAATGACGAGAAGGAATTCTACAAACTCGAAGAAAACTGAGCAGATAATATTTTCCCCACTACGTCACAATACAGGTTTTAACTGTTTTTTTTCTTTTTTTTACTGAATAAATCTAAATCTACTAGATAGATTCGTCTGTCCCTATAGTTTCAGCACTCATGGTGGAGGCCTTGCCGAACTAGTGCGCGCCAGTCAAAACATGAGAGTGGCGGTGTCAAGCGTCAGTCACCAGCACAAACGTAATGCTATTCTGCGATTTCGCAACTCTACCCCTGGCAGGTTCGCTTGTTGACGGTTTCATGACCAATCGGAAGCTTAAACGTCATACGTAGTGACGTCCCTATTGTGGACGTTTCAGGAAGCTCCCGATTGGATGAAAACCGTCAACAGCTGAGCCAATGCTAGGGGAGAGTGTATACATCGCAGAATAGAGTCATTTTGTTTCCGATATGATGGATGAATTAACGGAAGGATGGAATGATGGATGAATTAACGGAAGGATGGAATGATGGATGAAATGTTGGACTGATGCAATGATGGAGGGATGGATGGGTCAGTCACGCATAACTCTGAGAGATGAGAAGCTAATGAGCTGAGAGTTGGTAAATAGTAGGTCTGGAGTTAGATCTAGATATTCTGTTGCAGAAATCATCAAGCTATTTCAATTTTTGGAGATACTTTATATGAAGTCCCTGAGACATTTTCAAAATTTTCTCAAGAGTAGCAACATATTTTGTTATTGTTAAATGCACCTGAATTATAGTGATCTTGTTTATTTCAGACAATCTTTACATTGGAGCTTATTAACGTACTCTTAATTTACGTAATATATGATAGTCTTAATGTAAAAAGGTATTTAACCCAATGGTGTGTTCACTGAAACAAGGATACTATAACATATTCTGTGTGATGCAACAGTCATGTACCAGTGGTGAACATACAATTTCAAATTTTACGATGATTAACAATGCATGTACTGGTAGAAAGATGTAGTTCTTGGTAAGATGCACAAAAACACTTGTAAATAATGTGACTAGAAATGCAATGTGCTCGTTGCAACACGTAGCGTAAATGATTGCGGGAGTGGAATTCTGCGCGCACCTGTCGGTTTCCACCGCCGCCTCCCACGCCGCTTCCCTCGCCAGTGACTGCACCCCCGCACCACCCCTGCACCATTTTCACACGCATCCAGTCATCAATATTGCAACTGACGTGTATATCTGGCCTTCTCAATGCAAGAATGGACACCAGAGTGCTCGCGGTGGCACGCACACCAACCGCATACCCTCTCACGCTTCGCCCCTCACTCAGGGCACGTTGCACGTATTTTCGTAGCATTGAGGAAGTGCTGAAATTATGTAGGGGAAAGTCCATTTTTGTCCAGAAAACTCATATTCTGATTCCCTGATACAAACAAGGGAATAATTTTGACTTTACTCTATACCTACGTATATACCAAGTAATACACGTAGTATTGAGAAAGTTATGTAACGCTGCGGAAAATAGATTTCGAGATTTCAACGGAAATACACGTTTGGAGGTCCCTTGATTTCGAAAAAAAATTATTTTTAAAACCACCGTCCGTCTGTCACCACTAGCACCTAAAACATGAGTAGGACTTTTTTTTCAAAATGAATATTCCCCGGTCGATCTAACTCGATTCAAAGCACTGCGGGTTTTTAAAAAAAAATCAAAATTTGGAATACTTTACATGTAGCTTCCGGGACATTTTCAAAATGTTCTCAAAAACTGCTCCAATTTGTTTTTCTTTAAGTTTCTTGTATTATTTGAGTAAATACTCAAATTTTCGAAAATTGCAAAAGTTCTAATTTTTTTCGGTGCCTTCCTACAACTACATAATTGAAGATGGAGGTTTTTCATTCATATAAAATTTGTTGCCCATAATTAGTTCTTTCATTAAGGTCATTCAAATGTTTTTGAAAATTTTAGTCGTTTTATTGCGATAAATGTGAACAATTTAAAAAAATTACGAAAACAAGATTTTCTCAAAACCCGCTTCAAATTTTTGCTTTAAACATTTGGTAGAGATAGTGCTAAATGCAGTCTATATGATGACATTAACGCCATATTGCTCTATTCTTCTGTTTTGTCAAAAATTATAAAAATGTAATCTTGTCGACTTGTCTTTCACTTCGTTAATACTAATTTTAGGAGAAAATTGTTCACATTATTGTACTTATGACTAAATGTGCTTTAAATAGTGTCAGATAAAGTTGTTAGAAAACTTAATTTTTCTGCGAAAATTATCTCAAAATTCCGCATTTTCAGAAACGCTCAAACGCCATTTCTCAAAATTTTTTTTAAAACGTTTCGAACTGATAGTGCTAATTGAACTCTTTAATATTACATAAAGTTTATTTCGGAATATTGATTTGATTTCAAAAATTACTAAAATGATTTTTTTTAATATCTCTTATGCCGTTGATATGATGCACATTTCCAGCAATTTGTAATCCCGATTGTATTTTTGAGTTAACGTACTTCAAATGACTTCAAAAATGAAAGTTTTCGAAAACTGAATAATTTTTGTGTAAAGGAACTTCAAATTTCGAATTTTCAGTTGCTCTTAAGCGCTATTTCCTTAAAAATTACTCCAATTTTTTTCAAAGAAAATTGGCTTTTAGGACGAAGTTTTACTGTTCTTTATATTCTTAAAATAATATAAGCTACTGTTATAAAACCCAAAAATTAAGAAAATATCAAAAAATGTATTTTGGGCAGCGATAGAGAGCAACAGATTTACAGATTTTTTTTAAATTTTAGTAGTTTTCGTGCAATGTTGGGTGCAATATTTGCATTTAAAAAAATTACAAGACAAGATTATCTCAAAAGCTCGACTTAACTAGTGGTGCTAAAGATGTTACTACTAAAATTTAAAAAAAATCTGTACATGGCCTTAATGAAAGAAGTCACTATGGACTACAAATTTTGTATGAAGGAAAAATCTCTTTCTTTAATTTGGTAGTTGTAGGAAGACGAGTAGATTTTGAAGTTTTAAAGATTTTGAAAATGTCTGGAGAGCTTCATGTCCCCCCCACAATTTTGAAGAAAGTTTTTCAGAATCTTGGCGCCTCGAGTGGCGTGAGATCGACCGGTGAACACCCATTTTGGAAAAAATTGTTCATATGGCTTAAGTGCTTGTGGTGTTCAGTTGGACAGGCGGACAGGCGTGTTGATAAAACACGTTTTCCGTATCAGGGGACTCCAAAACGCTTATTTCCGTTGAAATGGCGAAATCTATTTTCCGCAACATTACATAACGTCACGTATACCGAGAACACTATGTGATTCAAAAGTATTGAGACACGTGGCTGAAAATGACTTACGAGTTTGTGGCGCCCTCCATCGGTAAAGCTGAAATTCAATAGGGTGTGGCCTGGCACGAAGTCGGCGTTTCAAAACATCCCAAAGGTGTTCGATAGGATTCAAGTGTTAACTCTGTGCAGGCCAGTCCAGTTATTCACTTATGTTACCACTTATGTTACCACTCCGCCATAGGCCGTGAAGTATGAACAGGTGCTCGATCGTGTTGAAAGATGCAATCGCCATCCCACAACTGCTCTTCAACAGTGGGAAGCGAGAAACCATCAACGTATGCCTGGGCTGTGATAATAACAAGGGGTGCAAGCCTCCTCCATGAAAGACACGACCACACCATAACACCATGCTGGACGTGGCCGGGTCACATAGTGTATATACCTCCACATATACGTCCGTATGCCGGAAAGTAAAAAAGAAATAAATGTTGGTAGCAGTGTGTGTGTAGCGTGCTCGGCGCTGGCGCTTGCTGTGCAGCGGCGGCGTACTGCGACCCGTGCGAGGCGAGCGTGGGCGTCGGTGCCGGCGCGGGCGCGGGCGCGGGGCGCGCGGGCGGCGCGGGCGGGGTGCTGGGCGCCAGCGGGGGCTTCGTGGCGCGCTACCCCACCTACCGCGCCAAGGACAGCCTGCTGCAGGCGCTGCTGCGCCGCGCCGCCGTCGACATCCCGCGCATCGTGGTGACGCAGCCGCCGGGCTGCTGCCCGCGCCACCGCCACCTCGCGCCGCCCCCCGGCCTCGCCGCGGTGAGTCCCTGCAGACCGTCGGTGCTTCGGGTCCTCGAACCCTCACTTGATCCGTCGAAGCCCTCCGACCCCTCCATTCTTCAAATGCTACCAACCCTTTGGATGTATAAATTTCAACCATCCTGGAATACACCCAATAACAAGAATCTTCGAATCCTCCATTTCCCTTGAAACTTCGAATCCTACCCATTCCTTCAATCTTCGAATTTCACCAATCGCTTCATTCCTATAACTCCACTAATACCGTGAATCATTAAATCCCACCAATCCCTTGAACCTCTCTACTCCCTTGAATCTTGAAATATCCATCAATCCTCGAATCTACCTAACCCCTGAATCTCTGAATTGCTGAATCCATTTAAAACCTTTGAGTCATTATAAATCTCAATAATTCCCCAAATCTTTAGTTCTTGATTCCTTTGAATAATCGCCTCCTTCAAATTATCCTGTCACTTTCATTGTAACGATCTTTCGAACTCTGTGCTTATATTTTTATCTTCTTCGTCTTCAATAACTTCGCGCGTTCTCTCATCACTCAAGGTGGAATGTGATATATTTAACGCAATAATAAACAACTTTAAGTATTATTAATCCCAATCCAAAATAAAGTATTCCAATGCAATTGAAGTTATTTTTTAATTTTTATAAGAGAGAGTATTAAGCGCTTTTGAAAGCACATTTCATCAATGCGTATAAATGCATTCTTGACTAAGCTAACCAAACTTAAGCACACTGTGATAGGTAATATTATTTTAGAGAAGAGGCGGATGTGAATGTGAATCAAACAACTGAATGTTTAGTAGTTCAACCAATGAGGGCAGTAGTACAGATTGCCAGTTCGTGCTATGGAGTTGTCTTCCCTCAGAAGCATACGTATTCAATAGAGCACAATTTCCACACCATACGAATGATTTGCATCATATTGATCGTCTCCTGTATTATTTCAGTAGTATATTGTGATGGGTTAACACAATAAATTTACGTAACTAGAAGTATGGTAGCAACAATGAGGGTATAGACAAGAAACTGAGGTGAGCTATATTTTGGAAAGAATACAAGGATAGAAAAACCGAATTCACAGTGGGGAAACTACATAATGTGTTTAGATTTATTTACTCAAAAAACAGTAAAAACTATGTAGCGTATGGGGAGAAGATAATTTGTTAATGTTAATAATCTATTAATAATCTTAATGTTAATAAATAATGCAGTGAAAGGACACTGAGTAAATTCCGTGGGGCACAAAATGAATGAAGTAGTTATTACGAGCAGAAAACATAATAATAACAACCGACACCATCTTAAATGTGTGTGACCAATCAGGCGTGAAATCGTGTGAGATGAAAGACAGATGAAGAGCGTGCGAGATAAAAAACGAGGCAGATGATGTTTGACATGGTGTGAGTGAGATGCAAAAAAGAAATCTATATGGTTCGGGGAGAATTAGGCAATTGTGATTTTGTAAACGCGATGTTTTAAGACTGTAACGTACAATTAGAAAGGAAATATAATTGGGTGTGTGTAGGACGCGAACATCATTAGGGTGGATCGAATTTGAAAATGGAGGCTGAATAAAAACTGGACAACGTTCAATATTGATGCGGATGTCCGGAAGGACAGTAGCAAAACGGTCAACATTTATTTTCATTTGTATTTGCCATTGTAGGAAGATCAAGTTTCGTATTACAGTAAAGTTTCTAAATTAATTATTACGAGAAAATTTGGACCTGCATGCAAAAAGAGAGGGATTTGTAGCGAGTATTTGATAAGGAGAATAAGATAATTCATGAAAGATTGTGTTTACGAAAATTATTATTGTTGTGGTTTTTAATATGATATTTGTGTGATTATGTACACAATTCACAGCTTAATACATAATGAAATGTTGATAACTGAAGTAAGTATTATTTATGAGTAAAAAACCACGAGAGTTTCCAATCCTTAGAAAGAAACAAATTACTTTACGTAAATATTTCACTAACGAGTATCTGTATAGACGGACTATCTGACCCACCCATCAATAAATTTTTGTCACGGGACGATATTGGAATACGAGGGCAACGAGTGAAATGTAAAATTTGAACAGTAAATTCAGGAGAATAATTAAATAAAAAGGTACCAGGAACGATCTCCATTCAGATTGGCAACCAGTACGCGAGGCTAGACAGGTATGAAAATTTACGTGAAGTGAAGGGAGAAAATTTGAAAATATATTGTAAGGTTTTGATCAGAATAATACACAACTTAGTATATATTATAACCACACCCACCGTGTGGCGGTCCCGACCCACCTGATTACCTAGTTCCAGCGATCCAGCGTTGCCTAGGCTGCTCAGTCCGTAGACTCTTTTATGGAAGGCATGCGTGATAGGGCTTATTCTCTTTCAAATACTGCCTTGAAAAACATACTTTCAATTAACGACCGCAGAGGCTGCCCGCGATGAGGCGATGATGCATTCGGGCGGTGAGGCGATGAGGCGATGAGGCGATGCGGTAGTGCATTCACTGGCGTCCCCCCAGAAGCCAAAAAGACTCGCCCTCGTCCCCACATGGGAAAGGCACATCTACTCGCTGTCGTCTCTTCTGTCGCGTCTTAAATATGACCGAGTTGCGTGTCGCGGCTTCCTCCTTCAGCTTCGCGGGTCACATGACCCTCCCACGCTTCGTTTTCCGCGTTTGGCAGGCGCGCGTCAGGCGGTTTCATCCGCCTCATCGCGGCGTCACTGATGACCGTTTAATCTAGCCAAATTCTGTTGGAACTCAGACGTCACTCGAGTTTCGAGAAAGGTGCAGCTGAGTTGCCGGAGACAGTGGCGCCCGTATTTCCAAGTGAGTCACTGGATGCGGCCGGGCGACGGTTGTGCCGAGACAATAGAGTTGCATGCCTCCGCGTCCCCGACGCTTCTAACACGCTCGAGAACGGTAGAGAAAAACGAACATTTCCTTGCCTCTTTACAGCAACGCTATAAGAAAAAATATTGAAAAAAATATTGAAATACGCGTCGCAACCTGACGCGCGCAACCGTTCTATTACGATATAGATAAAATTTTAGAGCATTAAGAAGGGTCAGCACATTATATTGATATTTGGTATTGTTTTCTTTTAATAATAAAGAGAACATAATTTTTACGTGAGGAAAGGCAGGCATTTTTTTACTTTTCATATACGACAGAGAAGTATTCATAATGGAAACGCCTAGTAAAACGGTACATAAGATAGTGGGAAAGGAGGACGGTAACACAGTTTCTGTAGCCAGCACGGAGGATAATAATGACGAAATTTTTAATCAGGAATTAAATGGATAGCCGGAGGCAAATATTGATGCATCGCAAGTCGGAGCGAAAGATATTGGCGAGCTGGCAACACCGCCAACTATCCATATGAATGCGGTGAATGCTAATACGTGGCAATTATTTTTAAATATGTTGATGGGGAATAAAGAAAATAATTTGATAAAGCAAAAACGTTTTGATGATACCAATCCTAAATTAAATTATAGTAATGCTAAATTAGAAGCTAAAATTGAGGAAAATAATAAGTTAATGCCCCGCAATTTCGAGATGTTAAACGTAAAATTGCAAATGAATATTGCAGAAATGAGTGCAGAATTGACGATCGTTACAGCAGACACGGATGCCAAAGTTAATAATTTAGATTCTAAAATAAATAGCGTCGTTAAAATCATTGTAACCATGATTTTCTACAAAGTGATAGAATTAATATTGTACAAAATAAAAAGGGAGATTCGTAACATAACTGAAAGGAAATTGCATGAAATGAAATTACAAAATTCTGTTATTTACATTAATGAAGCGGCTGCATTGAAGCAGAAAATTTCCGAGCTGCAGCAGGAAATAAATTTGGTACGAAATGCAAGTAAATCTATTAATTCTAATGTTGTATTAAATATGCCTGGCAATATTCGGTATCATGGCGATTCGAAAGAGCCATCCTGGTTATTTCTAAAGAAGCTAGAAACCTTTTTTGTTATTATGAATGTCTCCGAACGACTAAAAATGGTACTCGTGGAACAAACTAAGGAACGGTCCCCAGTTAGAATACATACCTTTTGCGGTTCTCACACGAAACCGATCTTTATAAATGAGGTCTCAACAGAGAGAGATTTTCACGATCTAAAACGCATCGAAATATCGATGTCAAATGTAACCTGTAATCAGTTATATCGTTCATTAACTCCTAAACAAAGCGTTTTAGGGCCTTAAAAACTAATATTGTGATTCCACAGCACTCAGAGAATCTTTTCCCAAGCCATAATCTACTGGATATTCTTGAACATTCTATTAAATTTTTGCTGGTTCGGTACTTATCGATACTAACCATGCAATTCCATGTTTCAACCTTTGGTGATGGTGGCAATCTTTGTAATGTCATGCTTAGAAGGCATAGATTCCTCTATTTAAACTCATTTTCGCTTTCTCTGTACACTAGTTTGTGCAGACTGGCGAGACTTATTTGAATTAATTCAAGATTCGCTCTCGTAGCAAACGCTAGAAGTACTAATAATAGTTACTTGATGCGATGAAGATTGTTTTATGCGTGTAGTGAAAACATTCATTAAACGTTTTGTCGAGGACTACAAATCCTATGTACTAATTGTGGAGGATGTGGGTGCGGTGAAGAATGGAGGTGTCATGTTTAGGTTTTGGTTAGTGTTTTGGTATTTTCTTATAAGCATTGGGGAAACTTTAAGGCCGCGAGTTTAGTCACGTGCTTTCTCAAGAGTAAAAAGTTTTTTCGATCAGCATGTTCGAGGGCTGAACTATCGTAGGATCGTACCTTATCGCCTACAAAGCGCATTCAGTTCACAATGGACTACTTTCCCAAAACCGTTGCAATAGTTTTGACGCAGGTTAATTTAACATATAATGACAGATAAATTAGTTCTTATACAGAGAACTATTTACTTTACGTCAGGATCCGAAAATAGCAGAGCTCACACAGCAAATCAATGAGAATCATCCTAAGA